CTTATTTAACCGGGTCTGCAACAGGATCCAAGGACCCATACCCTCGGCACCTTCGAGTACTCTAGTTTTTTTGTTTGTTTGTTTTTTTGTTTTTTCTCCAGTACCGGGAACCGAACTCACGACGTTGCACTTGCCAGGCAGGCGCTTTTGCCGCTGAGCTAAATCCCCAGCCCTTGGCACCTTCGAAAAGTGGCCCCCGCTGACTCTTACGTGCAGTCAGGGCTGAGAACTACAGGTCTAAGACCTCATTACTCAAAGGGTGATCCATGGGTCTGCAGCACAGCCTCGCCATAGAACCATTACAAATAGGAATCGTACGCCCACCCAGGACCTAGTGAAGAATCCGAACGCCCATTTCAATAAGATCTCCTGGTAATTCATACGCTCACTGAAGTCAAACAGGTGCCGGTGTAGGGAGCAAGTTGGGTTCTTTATTTGTATTACTATTTCTCTAGCACTTCAAATTCCAAGTGAGAAACTCACTAGGGACTGCCTTTATCTCCCACTCCTAATTCCATACTACAGAGGGACAGGGAGGCCATCTGAGCCTCCCCCATGTCCCACAGCCTGGTACAGGATGAAGCATAAACGATTGTGAGACAAAGCATCTCCAAATGAGAGCAGCGGCGAGCCACTGAATCTCCCAGTTGGGCTGGTGTGTTTTCCAAGAACCAGGCCCAGCAACCACACCCTGCAATGCCTGGAGCTGGCAGCCCTTGGACAACATGTGGTGCAAAACCAGCTTGCGCCGGGTGACTAAGTCTGTCGAGGATCCCCTGGGATCCAGAGTCGGCAGGAAACTCAGGGTTTCTGCTTCTGGGCTCTATTCCCAGACAGAAGATCTTGAGCCAAAGCTTTTCAACTAAATCAGTGGCTCTGAGCCAGCTGACAGCCAGCAGCACATTCAGATCTTAAAAGCACCCTGGGGAATCCGTAGGCAGCAACCATCAGGCCTCCCAGATCCTACGGCCTGAGAAGCAAAACTGGAAGGAGAAAGCACCCCCAGCCCCAGGAACAGAGTCAGGCCCTTGCTATGTTAGCTGAAACTAGGCCAGCTGTGCTGATCAGAGAGGCAGAGCCAGATCCCTGTCTTCACGGGGAAGGGTTGGAGCAGCAGAGGAAGCAGGCACCCACCCCCATAGGGACCAGAATCTGAGGCCTGTGAAATGAAGGCAAGGAGGCTCTGCATCCAACCGGTGCCCAGCAGCTGCCCCGCTCAGAGGGCAGCAGTAACAGTTGGAGCAGCAGCGGCCGTTCACCAGTGCTCATGCGCCTAGCAGAAAGGACCACGTAAGGCAGGTTATCATTACCACTGCATGTGACAGGAGACAATAGAGCCGAGGCTCAGAGTTCAAGGGTTCTGTTCCAGGCCACACTGTGAGTAAATGGCGCAGGTGAAATCTAAACCCAAGTCTGTTTACCTCCAAAGCCCACGCTCACTGTGCAATGCTACAGGATACACACAAATGCACAGCTGAACGCCAGTCCCCTCCACCCTACCGATGAGAAGACCGAGGCCAGAGAGCACGTAAGTCCCAGGCCACTCAGCAGGCTCAAAATAAGCAACAGCCTCTCTTCCGAAGGAACAGGAATGATGAGGAGACAATAGTGGAGGAACGGAAACTTCTGGCAAATATCAGACCAATACGAACAGTAAGGATCGGAAGTGCTAACTAGAAAAGCATGGCATCACAGCCTAACTACAGCAGAGATCAGCTGCACACATCTGTCATACATGCTCAGAGCTAACCTCTCTGGGTCTTAAGCGTCTGCAAAGGCCTAGAAGGATGTCTGTGACTGCTTCGTTGGCCTAGTTACTAACAGAATTGCCAGGCTGGCCTCCTTGCTAGCTGCCAGCTAGTCCATTTACCTCACAAGTGCCAACCAGACTTCCCAGACTAAAGTCTTTCTCTCCCTCTCACCTCTCTTCCCAAGTCTACTTTTGCCTTATTTGACTCCATCTTACATGCAGTAAAACCACATGTGTGAACAATGTCAGGTTACTGTCTCTAAATTATTCCTTATAGAGACCCTATGATTTCACTAAATCTTCAAGTGCATGTGGAAGTCCTTCCTCATCATATCCACTGAGGAGGCTCAGAAAGGCCTCTACAGTTCCGGCCCTGATGTCCGCAGTCAGCAAAGTGACCAGCCACACCCGCCACACCTGTGCTCCTCCTTCCATGCTGGTCCAGCCCTCCATGTCTAGCTTAAGATCTCCTGGCCCCTCACTCCTCCCTTCTGCTTCACCTTCCCTATGCTTGCGTCTTGGGCAGCCTCATCCGGCCCATCAGGTACCCTCTGCTTTCCTGCCCTGCTCCCTCACTTGGGCTAGGATGCCCTTCCTCCACCTGGCAGGGTTTCCTGTTCCTAAGTCCCACAGGAGCAAGACACCCTCTCCTCTGGAGTCCCCTCTACCATTTTACTTTCACTCTTCCTTTTAGTCACTACTAAGAAATTAAAATCTCCTGAAGATATGAACTGGGCCTTATCGATCTGACACATTAAATATATTTTCAACACCCAGGATCTTCAGGAAATGCATGGGAAAAGCAGAGCCTCAAAGAGCTCAATACAGAGTTACCATACACCCCAGTAATTCCACTCTGAGGATAAACCCAGGGGAGCTGTCCACACAAAAACTTGTATGTGGGCATTCATTGTAACATTCTTCATAATGGCTACAAAGAAAGGAAACCCAAATGTCCAATGGCTGAAAAATAGGTAAACAAAATGATGTGACTCCACCTGGTGGAATATTATTCAATCATCAAAAGGAATGAAGTACTGACCCATGCTACAATATAAATGAAGCCTAAGTGTACTATGCCAATTGGAAGAAGCTAGGAACAAAATGCCCCATCATCTATAATTCCACTTATATGAAAATGTCAAAAACAGGTAAATCCATTAAGATAGAAAGTAGGTTAGTGATTCCCATGGGCTAGTGAATGACTGCCAATGGGTATAAAGTTTCTTTGAGGAAAGATAAAAACTGTTCTGAAATTAGGTAACAGTGATATTTGGATAACGTTGTGGGTTATACTAAAAAACCCTGAATTGTATACTTTAAAAAGGTAAATTTTATGACATGTAAATTTGATTTCAGTGTTTTAAGTAACCTTTTTTAAAAACCTTAGGCCTGGAGTGAAGGTGGAAAGCATCAGACTGTGTGTGTCTGCTCCTGACTCTAACACACGCTCTCTGGACACACTGGCGGCTCCAAGGCCAGCAACCCTGTAGCAGACTGCAAGAGGTGCCCGCCCTCGAGCTGGCACTGCCCGTGGAGGTCGCCGATCCACAGCTCCATCCCTGCTGTTCTAGACAGGTGGCGTTTCCTGGACAGTCTCCAGTTTTCACACCACGCTGCTGCTAAGGTCCAGGACCAAGGGGTTTCCAGGCCACAGGACTGTTATGGTTTATGTCTGTGTGTCCCCTCAAAGCCTCCTGTGGATATGGGGCAGGCTATTAGAGTTGAATATGGGTGTAAGAGCTGCACCCGCCCGGGAGTGGATAGTTTGCATATGTAAGGGAGAGGAAGGAGCTGCTTGGGGGCATTCCTCCCCCATTCCGCCCTGGTGTGTGTGTCCTGGTAGCTGCTTTGCCGTGCTGCCGCCCTGAGATGCGGCCCTCTGCCACGTGCCACTCTGCCTTATAATCATGCCTAGTATGGATTGAAACCTCCACAAACTGTAAGCGAAATAAACCTTTCCTTCCTTAATTTTGGTCATCAGTTATTTTGTCCCAGCAGCAAGAAAAAGGTAACCAAGACAAGGACTCTCAATGCTGACCCTGGGAAAGTCCAGGCAAGATGAGCCTCTGTCACCCCAGCTCCCAAGGAGCCCTGAGCAATGGATGCAAGTCTCCGATCTCCAGTCCCAAATCGACCCCATCCATGACCACAGCATCTTATTTTCATCTCTATATTCCAGGCTTTGCTTACACCTCAGTTCAAAGGAAAAAATTCTGTGGCTAGACACAGGTTTAAATATCATTATTGAAGTTATTGTTCTCCTCTCCTGACGGTCCCTGTCAGCCATAGCCCAGGAGATTCAGACTCAGCTGTTTTCAGTGAGATGAGTCTAATGAGAAGAATTTCAGTGTGGGGAAACCAAGCAGGTGCCTCCTGGATGAGTTCCAGGGGTCAGTGGTGCTGGTGACTGGCATGGAGCAGGCCAGGATGGCTCCTGACTGCAGACGGGTCTCCTGGAGGAGAAGGTGGATCCCGAGGACACAGCCTCAGTGTGGACTCTTCTGAAACCCGGGAGCCCCCAAGGGATTTCTGCAGTGCCTCCACCCCAGCCTCCAGGGCCCTACATTCCTTACAATGTTTCACCAGTAAACCTTTGTCCTGAAGCTTCTCACTACCAACACACATGAGTCTGTGACAAAAGGCTCTTGTGAGGGCACAACCAACCCAGACTCCAAGTACGCCAGTGCCAGAGAGTATACCTCTGCCCCCAAAGCAACCCTCAACCCAATGAATGGGGCCATGGTAGACAAACAGCACTGCCTCTTTGCCCACCTGTGGGAGAACTTTGACGCATGCCACCCAGACCCCAGGGTAAGCAGAACCGAACCTTGCTGGCTGCAGTAGGAAGCATCCTATATTGCTTGGTTCCCTGCCTCAATTCCCTGCATCTCCTTTATTTTTTAAATCTGTTGACTATTTTAAAAATAAAAACACTTGTATTAAACTCCATCACAAGATTTGCTTCTGAGGGGCCAGAAACCAGAAATAGATTCTATGACTTGTTCAGTGGAAACAATTTTTTAAAAACAGCCCACAGTGCCTCTATATAGGAAACACCCAACACGGAGCTCAGGACTTGGTCAGGCCAACATCTGCTGTCACACCGAACAATACACTGAACTTATAATTCCCGCCAATGTAACAAAAAGCTGTTTTTAAAAAAAATGAATATACAGCCATTTGCAAAACATAAAGGGCTCTATCAGTGCCTTTCAAACCTATTAGTAAATGAATAAAGGCGCCTTACTTATAAAAGGCCTGGTTCTCCACCCCGCACTTCCAGAGATGCTTGCAGGCAGCTGGTGTTGAGGTGTGGAATGCCAATATGGCTTTTTTCTAATGAAAAAATAACAAAACAAAACAAAACAAAAAAGGCATGTTCAACACAGTCAATGTTTTTCCTTTAGGTATTTAGCTACTTGTATCCTGCCTTCTGCCCAAAGATCTGAGGTAGCTTCACATAGTACTGTGTTTTTTACACTATGGTGAAAATGGTACCCCCCACCCACCTACCATTAGACATATCTTATCAATCTGAGTTCTGTTTCTGATACAAAGCAGCTTCACAATCCTTTTCAACACTCCAGGAATCATCTATCTTTCCACCCGACTGGGATTAGTCTTAATGCCTATTTTCCATGCTTGAGTAATTGAACTGATCAAGAAAATGTGCAACCTTCAGAGCTAGCTCGGAGGCTCAATATTTTGCTAATGCCACCCCTAAATGTGTTCCCTGGTAAACCACAATCTTTATCTGGTAACGCCTTTGTTTTTAGACTCTTGGGATTTACACACTGTTTATACCGCTCTCCCTAGTACTGGTTGATATCTAGCTTTGTAAGCATTCTGCATTTGTTTCATACCTCTGTACCTCAGCACAAAGATTGAGGAGATCCATATTTTATTCAACTTTACCTCACCTTATTTTATGCCCAGTGCTCTATAACCGGCATTGCTTTATTCTCATAAAGTAACCCAGTGTTTATTTGTTTACCTCTAAAATGTTCTCAGCCTATAGCTTCCATTATCATCACATTCAAAAAATCCCAGTCTTTGGAATACAACACTAACGCATAGTTTATCCCTGAATCTCCCCCATGCACATACAATGAGTAAAGAGTAAAGAAAACAGCCTCTGACCTCCTTCTGTGTGCCAATCACATAAAATGTCTTCCCTTCAAACTTCAATTTGCAGACATCTGGCCTAGGAAGAGAAAAATCTCTGAGTAAGAAGGAAAAGCAAAGTAGCCACTAACCAAAGCACCTGGCTTTCCCATAGGAACCTGCTGACTCACAAATGCCCAACATTGGTGTCCTAGCAGTTACAGCAACACAACGCAAGTGGAATTATCTTCTCTCTGTACACGCATCTTCTTACCAAAGAGGCACCTGGGGCCTGCATTCCAGAAAGGTTTAACAGAACAGCTCCTTAAAATAAAATCTAAAGTCACCCTTTCAACCACAATTTGTCATTTACCAAGGTGTTCTCATAATTTTGAGCATTTCAATGTGTAATAAAACAATTCTTTGTAAATAGGGAGACAAGGGTGAAAAATTTGCAGGGTGGCATATGTGCTTCTTTGAGCTAAATGTGGAAGGTGCTTTGAATCCATATTATTTCGTTAACTGAATCTGAGATAATCGTGTTCCTCCAGCCTTAAAAATCAAGCAGGACAGTTCACATTTTGGTCGTCAATGTTTACAAATACACTCAAACTCCTTGGAGGAAAGATGTAGCCTAACTATAAAAAATGGGAGAAATAATTCTGAATTGTCTACAAGTCCTCTCTTGGGAGGAAAATTGGTATATAATTCACTTGGAGATTTCCACTGCCCTCACTGATGATAAGGTAATATCTTGTTTCCACTCTTCTACATACCAGAAGAAAAATAACATCCAGGAAGGAAAATATCTGAAACTAACCTGCATTTGAGATGCACCAGTTTCCAATGTAACTGCTCTGGGTTCAAGCAATTCAGAAACCTGAGGATCTAACATCCTTCTAGTCCTCTGAGCCCTTTGCAGTCCTAGGGTGGGATGCAGGAAGCCCCAAATTACCCATTTTCTCCAAAGTCCAAAGGACTCCCTAGGGAAGCTATTCTGAAATGGACCAAAGGTGATTAACACTGGAGCCTCTCTGCAAGGTGCTAAAAATACAGAAAAGAAAGCCAGATAATACCGCCCCCCCATCACACTTTATACATCACAACTTGCAACAAGTCTGCAAAGCACTCTCACACCACCCATTATTTCATTTATTTTTGTCCATCTCCTTCTCTCCTTTCAAGGCAGCCAGCTCAAGGGTAAGATGTGAGTGACCAAGCACATATGGACTTTCCATTCTCAGCAAGGACTGGCATAAAAATACAGAAAAAAAAAATATAGACCCAATACTGCCCAGCTAAAAATAGAGGAAGTCTACCAGGATTCTGAAAAAAGTATCCTTATTTTTAAAGGAGACACATGGTAGGTGCTTCTCTCTTCCACGATCCGGGTACTTGTGTGAAAGGAGCCAGACTGATATTCACATCCATCTCATGAACATGAGCCTGGGAACAAGTTACCAACCTGAGAGAGCAGAGAAGAAAGTGGAGACCTGAACCTTTCATGACTTGTTCGGCAGTTCAGTTCACAGATGAGGTAACAGCTCATGGGCTTGGGCTTTGTGCACCAGTCCTCTTAACTGAAAGACTTTCTGGGCAGATGTGCTTGCTACTTTTTGCCAAAAGTGACTTCACTGATATTCTGGGGAACAAAGGGTGCACTTGCATCGAAGATTCAATAGAAGAAGAGAGTGGAGGGAAGTGAATGGAAGACAATAGACCCGGAATTACTCCAAAGCACTGCCATGGTTTGGCCTCCAAAGTTCTGTGTACGGGGAGCTTGGCGTGGAAAGGTGGCGGGGGACCTTCATGGGGTAGGACATAGTGGGAAGAGATCTAGCAGCCATGGGACCCTGTACTGAGCATCTTCTTTGGTTGGGTCAGCAGAATGTTCTGGTGACTAAACACTGAACGCATAGCACCCTAGCCCAGGTCTCCAGAGGTGACTCCTCACCTTGACAAATACAATTCCCTACGAAGGGCAACCTAGATTGGTTTCCACTCATAGGTGATAACTGCCTTTATGTTAAAGCTCCAAGGTAAAGAAATGGATAGTAGTCAATCTACTTGGCACTGCACACACACACACACACACACACACACACACACACACACACACACACACACACACACACACACACACACACACACACACACACGGAATCAAAGAGGAGAAGGGTAATGAGATAGTAAGAAATAAGGCAAGCCAGTTTTCCAAAGAAGAACTCACCATTTTATCAAGTGGATCCTCTTATTTCCCTGGAATACCACAAAGCCTGCAGCAGTGAATCCTAAAAATGTTGTTGTTCCTGTTGAATCCTGAAAAAAGGAAATAAAAACCCTTTCGGATAGAGGAAAATGAAGTAAACAATAAAGGGTACGCTTACTCATCTCCATCCGGAGTCAATTTCAGGCTAAGTCTGGTGACTGTAACAGTGGAGGTTCCTGAGGTGGGAGCCTTAAAGTGCAGGACTTTCAAATCTGGGCCAGGCCCAGAATTCTGGGGCTTTCACCTTCCAGGAATGACTGACCTTCTGTCCCACCAACAACCTCCTGGAAGAAGATTCTGCCCAATACTACATCTATTTTCAAACATCTTCTGGGCTGCCTGTGTCATGGATCTGCTCTGCAGTGTGGACAAACTCTCCTTGGTTGCTATTAGCTCTTGAATACAATGAAACCAAAGCTGTTAGCATTTTCTATAACAGGATTCAACCCACACAGGATTTCTGGTAATTTCAGCATTTAAATATGCCCCAAAAAGCCTACTTTGCTTCTAGCCTAGACCAGGAACACTAAGCAATTTATGGATAAATTAAGGGGAGGCCAAAGAATAATAACTACAACAAAAATCAAGTCAGTCTTCAAGTAATAAACAAAAACAGTGAGGTTTAAATTGCTGGATAAAATCAAAGTCACTAAGTGGAATAAAGTGATTTATCCCATTAGTGGAAGGGGCACCTGGAAAATGTTCTCTAACAATCATGGTAGCAGAACAAGAAGATAGACAAGTGTCCCCTCCTTGGTCATATACTGGCATCATCTGGGACCCTGGTCCTCCATCCACAGGTCCTGAGAGAATGGGCTCGGGTGTGTTCCAGGCAGTAGGTATTTTTAATGAAAAGCCTGAGCTGTGTGCTAGTGAGCTAGTATTTAGCTAGCAAACTGATCCAATCTGGGTAAATAAATGTTCCAGGGTAACTAAAAAATTTACGTCTAAGAGCCTGACTGGTATAAATACCTAGTTTAGAATTAGTGCTAGTGTCCGGCTGAAGCACAGTTAAAATACGCAAAGGAGAATACTGCTTGCATAAATCACTTCTGGAAAATGTATACATAACATCATCACTTTAGGAGCTTGATAAAAATAAAGATTTCCCCAATGGACCCCAGAGTTCTCAATCAGCTTCTGATAAAGGAGGCCTGTTTCACTCTTGAGAAAAATACTATCAAATTATATAAGTAGAAGAACTCCTAATGCCATAATGTAATTTACATCTTTCTTCCACTTTCCATGTTTAAAGAATGTATTCTTGCCAGCAGTGGCCTTGAAAATACATTGGGATCCTCTAAGTTTCCAAAGAAAAACCATCTTCTACTTGATATGTAAGTCCATGGTTACTGACTTAGGGAAGTACGGGTACTACATTGTGGCGGGTGAGCACGTGACGAACCTTAGGAGAAAATCACTTCCTGAGGTGTGACTGGGCCCACAGCTGTCCCTTCTAATCAGCAGCTGTGCAGATGGCTGTGGAAATCTCCTAAGAGGGCTCTGCCAGGTCACACCAATTCACTCTATCTGAGGCAGAACAATCATGACCTGCGGAGGAACAGTTACCTTGCATGGGTGAGGATCTACCCCGTAGGTTTCCAAAGTGTGAGCTTTCAGGAGTAAGTTAAACTCAGCAACTGGTGGGCTCTGGCCTCTAAAATCACACACAAAAAAAGTTTAGGGAGTTAAAATGAAAAACAGAAACACAGAATCCCTTCAATAAAATGTGTACTATTACATTAAATATGGGGGGAAATCCATACGGAAACAGTAATCAGTAAAGCCAATCATTAATTCTCACCATACGGAAATTCTGCTAAGAAATCTGAGCTCATGTTCTTAGCTAACTGTTCCATAACACACCCATGTGTAACCTCAGTACTCCAGTGACTGTACAGTTAATCAAGGCTATAAAGTTACCAATAAGCAGGCCCACGCAAATTCAATCTTAATACAAAATGAAGTTCAGCATCTGTTCTTTCCTATTCGTCCAGGGATTATCCAGGATAAATGGCATTCGTTCTTGCTCAGCACAGAAACTGGGCAGTTCTGTTACCCCACCAACAAGCCTAAACAGAGCTTTGCGGGTAACAAAGAACCTCGGACATTCCACGGGAAGGCCTGGATTCTGAAAGGAAATCTCAACCACCACTCCTAATGCTGACCTCTATGGTGGTAAACCACATCTTGACCACAAGAGAAAAAAGCACTACAAATACACATGACCATGGAGTCCTCTCGGCGCTGGCCTCTACACTTGACCTGTACAACATTTCAGAGACCTCATGCTGACCAGCGTTATACCCCACACACATCATGGAGAATCCAACCCATTCCCCAGAGAGAATTATATGACTTCAACAGTGAGGAAGAGTTTGCTATGGAAAGCAACAGGAATTCATTTTTATTTTTCAAAATGCAAAATTATATTGCAATATTAAATCTATCCCCACCTGAACTGCATAGATGAATTTCCCCCGACTCCTTCAAGTCACCCAGAGTCTTCTTAGCTCTGAATCAAGACAGAATCTCATCTACTTCCTCCCTAAAGCCTTTCAAGATCTTCCCTTTGCTCTTAATGGACTGAGACATTGCTCCAATGTGTCTAGGAGCATCCTTATATTCTCTCTTTTGATGTAACATTCTAAGTTATTTCCTAATTCAAGACTCCAGCTAGCCAATTCATTCTTTGGCGGTGTGCATTCTGCTTTTCATCTCATTGATGTCTTTTTAAATATCAATTAAGCATTTCATTTCATATGTAATATTTTTAGAGTCTTGAAATAGCAACATGTTCTTGTTTCCTGAGCATGATTCCTCCTCTACCTCTATTATTGTTTGCTTCATGGAAAGTCCACTCTTGTTGGCTCCACAAGCGCTGTGCTCCTGGTGAGGGTCTTCAGAGGGCTGAGTCACAGTCTCTTGGGTTGATGTTTCTTTACGTGTCTGCTGATTCTTGGTTCAGTGCTCATCTGTGACAAACCTGCTTAACAGAGTGGCCTCTGGAAGTTGTAGCTGTAGCTGTAGCTGTAGCTGTAGCTGTAGCTGTAGCTGTAGCTGTAGCTGTTGTTGTCAGGGTGAGATGTGCCATGCAGAAAGAGTACCAGTAACTTGATTTGGGGTAAATGTTCTAGTTCCTTCTGGAAACTTCCTAGTTCATACATGGGGAACTTCAGCTCAGGCCTGCTGCTACCCTTGAGCCAGAAAAAGGGGGCAAAGTTGCTCAAGTGCTTGTGCAGGTGCCATTCACTGATGGCTGCTCTGTGTATCCCCAGCCCACAGCCTCCAGCAGCACTGTCAGCTTGTACACATGGCTGGCCTGGTCCTCTCTGCATCCTTCCTTCCAGAGATGTCTTCAGCCTTCTGACTGAAGATGGGATTCTTTCTTGTATGCTGTCCAGTGTCTTTTTTATTATCCACAGGGCTTGTGGAAGGAAGGTATGGTTACATTACAGGATTTCATGAGAAATACACTCAAATGTCTGCTTTAGGAAAACAAAGTCTTTTCTGCAGCTTTTCTAGATTTCTTCAGTTTAGGTGTTTTAAATTTCACTACAACACCCACATATACCTAGAAAATCTTTATCTTGATCATTACTGTGTGAGTTCTTCCAACCCAACAAATCCTATCTTTGGCCCTTCTTTTGAATTTTTTTTTTTTAAGACAAGGTCTTGCTCTGTGATTCAGGATGACCCTGAACTCACTATGCAGCCCACGCTGGCCTGGAACTCATCATGATCCTCCTGTCTCAGCCTCCCGAATGCTGGGATTACACACATGTGCCACCACAGCTGACAGCTGAATTTTTTGTTTTTAGGACAAAACATTATAATTATTTTTCCTTTGATAAAGTAACCATAGATTCAGAAAGTCATCAACTACATTGACATAGATAGGAAAGGTAATTTTTAAAAGCTGTCTCAAAGTATATGGTGAGTCTTTCCATAGCTCTCTGAAAGTTTTTGCACTATTTTAACTATCATTAGGAAATAAATGAATTTACTGAATCCAAATATGGAGCTCCTTCTCCCTCTCTCTCCCTTCCTGTTTCTGTGTGTGTGTGTGTGTGTGTGTGTGTGTGTGTGTGACAGTAACACACACAAACTCCTCTTCTTCAAAGAACTGGCTACTCATGATCTGTTAAACTCTCAGCATCTTTTTAATTTTACTATTAAAATTCAACTTTGACTTTACAGTTCACTTTCCTTTTCTACGCAATATGGGAACAGGTTAATCATGTGAGGTTATGACTCAGCACTCCACGCTGGACAGTGGACGGTTTAGAAGTAGTTTTTAAGTGGGTCCCCAGGGTGCAGTGTTGAAAGATTTCAGGAGACTCGGGAGGTGGCACTGGTGGGAGGTGGTTGGATCACTGGCCCAACTTGGGCCGTGTGAGAGCAGTCTGCGATAGGAGAGCAATGTCTGAGTGTCTTGACTTTCTGTCTCAGTGTGTGATGGCTCCCTCCCATTCACTCCCACCATGGTGCTATCAATCTCATGTGATGGCCCCAGATAGCTCTCACCATAGCTATGCAAGTGCTGTTGCCTTGCTCTCAGATTCCCAGGTCTGAGAGTTAAATCCACCTCTTGCTTATAAAGTACCCAGCCTCGGGCACTTGTTATAGCAAGGAAAAACAGACTAAGATAGAAAGTGAGTAATTTCTCCTTGCTTAAATGGTTTCTTTCACACCACTCCCCTCTCCTTCCTAATTATAATCACAAACCCTCAACTAAACTTAAGCATCTCTGTTTGTCAAGAAATGCCACCCAGGGTGTGAAAAGCAAGCCACAGTGTGGGGCAGGGTGTCCACAATGTGCATAAGCAAGAAGGACACCTATCTAGAATACTTTTTACAGCTCCTATAAATAAGGAGCAGAACTTTTAAAAATTCAAATATCCCATAAAAGTGGGTAAAAAACTTGGTAGACACTTAAGTATAACTGATAGACACTTAAGTATATACTACCAACAACTACTTGAAAATATGCTTAACTTTTTTCTGTTCAAGAAAATATAAGTTAAAACTATGGAAACCATTAACATGCATCTGATAGCTAAAATTAAAAGGTTAACAAAAAAAGCACTAGTAGAGTTGTACAGCAAAAGCAATCCTCATATACTGCTGTGGAAATGCAATTTCATAGAACTAATCTGGAAAACTCTCTGGAATTTTATCTACTACCACTGAACATGTGTACTCCACAGCAGAGTTATACATGCAACACAAACCAGTCCATGTTGCACCAGGAAATATTCAATGGCAAAATACAGGAAACAACACAAGTACATGATGAATCCTGTACAGCCACAAAAGTAAACTGATTAAAGCACACACACACAATTACACAGACGGGTAAATATCACAAAAATCAGGTTGAACAGAAGAATTCAGATGTAAATTAATAAACACTACATGGCTATTTCTCTGGCTTTTAGAAATGAGAAATAAAACTAAGGTGTTAAAAGTCAGATGTTTCTTATTTTTGGGGTGTGAAATTTAAATCTAACCCATTGTGAGGTGATTTTAATATATGGTGTAAGGTATGGATCTAATTTCATTCTTCTGCTTGTGGGTACCCAGTTTTCCCAACACTTATTTATTGAAAAAACTGTCCATTCTCCACTGTATGCTCTTCATACCTTTGTGGAAAATTAGTCAGCTGTAAGTGTGTAGATTTATTTTGAGGCTCCCTGTTCTGTTCTGTTGCTCTATTATGTCTGTTTTGATGCCGGTACTATGACGTTTCAGTTACAACAGCTTTGCAGTACATTCTGAAATCAGGTAGTGTGATATCTCCCCCTTTGCTCTTCTTGCTCAAGGTAGCTTTGATTATTTGGGGTCTTTTGTGGTTCCATGTGACTTTAGTATTTCTTTCCTATTTCCTCACCATCAGAAGAGGAGCCCTGCACAACTGCACTCAGAAACCCTTCCAGAGAGTGGCAGCGGCAGGCAGGATGATGAAATAATGCAGAGGCTCATCTGCAGCATAAAGATGCTCAGGTCAGCATCACTCGCTTGGGGGTGACTGCGGGTCTCCGTTGGATAAGCGTTTAATCAAAAAACTCAGAACCAGAAAAAGGCAAACTGCAGATGTTCAGATTGGCAAAGGGATCAAACCAAAGGAGAAAAGGCAGAGACCCCAACAGCACTGCAGATCACTGGGTGCCTGACTTACTGAGGAAGAAACCATTCATGACCGGGAAAAATTAAACAGAATTTTTTCTTCAAATCTCCCATTGGGCATTTGTTTCTAGCAAAAACTTTGTTGGGTAATGGAAAATAAAGATTTTTTTACCCTTCAAATGTTGCCCCAGGAAATGTTCTGCTGAGATAATGGAACGTTTAGAGGTAAAGACCATTATTAGCTGAATTATTTTTTAAGAGCTACCATAAATGAGGACAAGCAATTCTGTACTTAGCTATGTATCTCCATCTTCTCAGTCCTGAGGACTTTAACCAAAGAGAAACAATCTCTCTCCTACCGATCCCCCATTCGCATGCTACATATCACAGAGTATAAAACATGCAGCACCCCAAGAATAAATGCAAATTATTAGCTATAGATTTTGCTAGCAATGACCTGGAATGCTTAGAGCACAGCTGGCCGGAAAGGGAATGGCTTTGGCCTCTCTTCACCCATGTGAACCTACA